TATATATCTATATATATGTATGTATTTCATGTAACCCAGGCTGGCCTCAATTTCAGTTTTCTGTGTGGCAAAGATGACCTTGACCTCCTGATACTCACATCTCCACCCACCTACTAAATGCTGGAATTGCAGGCTAAGCCACCATGTTCAGATATATGTAGTGACAGGAATGGAGCCCAGGGTTTCAAATAATTGAGCCACAGCCCCAGTCCCCCTTTCAGCTTTCTGATCACGCTTCTTACCTCAAACTTCACCCAGCTCCCATCTACCTTATATGAGTACCAGTGACCTTCCTCACACACAAGCCTGAGAACAATACTCTGTCACCACAATGCCGTTAGAGGTTTTTCAATACTTCGTGTTACTCAGCTTTCAACGCTGTGACAAAATGCCAGTGGGGAACATTCTAAGGGAGGGAAAATTTATTTTGACTCATTTATATTCAATCCATGGTCTCTTGACTACATTGTCTCTGGGCCTGCTTATGAGACAGAACATCCAACAGAAGAGCTCAGAGGAGCAGCACCCCTCACCTCATGGCAGCCAGGAAGCAGAAAGAGTGGAAGGTTAGGTCATGGGATGTGATGTGCCTTTCAAAAGCATACCCCCTGTCGCCTACTTTCTCCGACAATGCTCCATCTCCTGGTAGCTTATGAATTCATCAAGGGATGAACCCATTGACAGAGCCAGAAACCTCATGTGCTAACTCCTTCAATAGAGCCATCCGCTGGGGACAAGACCTCTACACATGGGCCTTTGCAGGAGCTGCTTCACATCCAAGCCATAACCCATCTCTAGATAACAATGAGTGCTCTTCTGCATGACACCTGGGATGCTTTATACTTTCTCTACAGCCTGTCTCTATCTTGTTTGACCTACCCACCCTTGGCCCCACCCACTCCATTATCCAGTCACTCCATGCTTCTCAACACGCCAGTTAACACCCCTCTGAAGCCACAGTTGGCCTATTTAAAGAGTTTTCTGTGATCGACTCCTACTTACCCTCCAACGCCTAACTCTGCAGCCACCCCCAGGAACACTTCCCTGCGAGCATCAGCGAAAGCATCACATCCTGTGGGCTTGTCTATAAACCATATCTTAGATCTCTTGCCACACTGCAGAAGAGTCAATCACTGACCAAACCCTGGCCCTTGAGTCAGGGAAAAACTTAAACCCTAAGTAAATGTGTAGATGAGCAGATAAGCAGACGCATAGACCTTGGCCTCCAGGATTCAACACTGTCATCCATCATAATCTGGAGTTTCAAAGGACAGCTAAATTGTAAGATGACCTTAGAAAGTGGAAGGGGCACCCCACTAGTGGATGGACTGCCTGTGGGCATTCTAAAGGCTGGAACCAGGGCCACGTGAAGGCGCCAACATGGCACTGCCTGACACATCAAGGATGGAGTAACCCCATCCCACCCCCGATCTGGTTTCCTCCTCCTGTCTCATCCCAAGCCCACTCTACCCTGTAGTCCATTGACACCCACACCCCTTGCAAGGGAAGCCATAGACCTGCTCCAAGGCACAGGAGAGCAAGGCAAGGTGTTAGTTAGTTCCTTCGGTGTCACTGTGAACAAAGACAGCTTCCGGTAGGAAAGGTTAACTTTTGCTCACCATTCTCTAGTACACCTAAAACAACTGTTAGGGTAGAAGAGCCTGCTACAGTAACACAGACAAGGTAAAGGAGAGGTTTATAACTAGGTCTACAACAATAAAGCCGACCTCAGGCAGGTCCAGCTGGCTTTCAAAGCCTCCCTGAGGAGCATGTAAAAGACACTGATGTCCTTTCTCTAGTAAGCCTTACAACTCTCCAGGCACTTACACCTCTATACAGAGTCCTGATTTCCCTGTAACAGATTTAATTGTGGGTAAGAATAGCTAAGAAAGCCTCTATCTAGTCTAATGGAACCACCTGGACCACTCCAGGGATAAGCAAGATGTGGTGAAATTGTAGGACAAGACTTACAAATCCAGATCCTAGTGACAGCCCTCCTGCCTCTCTGCAGGATGCATTTAGCCTTTTATCACTTATGGTGCTAAAAATAAACCTTCACTACTTGGCGGCCCTACCTGTGCTCTGGTGTAAATTCTTCCTTCCAGGGCACAGAAAAGCAAGTTTGTTGTGGGTGTCGGGGTTAGAGGAATGCAGGAGAAAGCATCTCCCTATCCATGACAAATCCATCAGGGCAGAGCAACTCACAGCACAGGAGACAGGGAACAGACATGAGAAAAGTCAGGAACCAGGATGAGGTTTGCCCTTCAGAGGCATGCGGCTCCCAGTGACCCACTTCCTCCAACGAGAGCCTGCCTTCCACCCCTCTAACACCTCCAGGTCATCCACTTCAGTTATGAATCCATCGGTGGATTCACCTGCGGAAACACCTGCACAGGCAGCTCCAGCGTGTGCTCGCCTGATCTCCCAGGTGTCTCAGTCCAGTCAACCTGATAGTCGAGATGAACTGGGATTGGGGAGATGGCTCTGTCTATAAAGTGCTTTCTCCCCAAGCATGAGGACTTGTTCCCCAGGTGGGTCTGGTGAGGTGGCTCAGCCTGCCACCAAGCCCAATGACCTTAGTTCAGTCCCCGAGACCCATGTGGCAGAAGGAGAGAACAGATTCCCCTGGGTTGTCCTCTGACCCCACATGTATGCTGTGTGCTGCTCACTTACACACACACACACACACACACACACACACACACACAGACGAACAAAATAAATAAATAAATAAATAAATAAATGTAATTAAAATTTTTTTAATAATAAAACACACACAGTGATTAACCGCCACAGCCAATCACTAATGTAAGGAGAATCTAGCCGACATTTCCAGTTCCAGTAGAATCCCCCAGAAACCCAGTCTCCTCTCCTCCAGGGCGGGAGGAATTTTGATGGTTATTTTCTGGTCCTCATAGTATCCCTAGCCACAGATAGGGTCATGGTAGCCCAGAGAGAAGGGACATGTGCCAAGGTCACTCAGCAGCTAGCAAGAGACAGAGCTGGGACTGAGCCCACCTCCCTTCTTGGGCAGCTGCTCCTGGGAGGAGCCTCAGTACAGAGTGGCAAATTCCAGGGACTCCAAGGGGTTTGCTCAGCCCGCCTCCACAGAGTACCGGGAAGGCCAGGCCCTGGTGGCTGGCAGGGAATGCCAGGTCTCCTCTCGCGTGAGGCCAGTGGCCTGCACAGCCCCCTTTAAGGAGCGCTCTGCCATCCAGTCTTAATTTTAGCTTGGAGGCGTGCCACCAGCAGCTTTAACTAGAGGCTGGCTGAAGTTATGCAGGACAGCTGTCAGCCGGCATGCAGGGTGGGGCCTATTTAGCCGGCAGGGGCACCAGTCTGGAGACCCTAAGCTTGTTCTTTCTGCCCCAGGACTATCAACGATACCAGCCACAAGGCTCTGCTCTCCTCCTGAAGGTACCTCAGCCTCACGATGATGACCGAAGAACACACAGATCTGGAGGCACGGATCATCAAGGACATTCACTGCAAGGAGATAGACTTGGTGAATCGCGACCCCAAGAACATCAATGAGGACATTGTGAAGGTAGGCTCCATGCCCAAGCAGGACATCATGGTCCTCACACACTTAAGGTCAGCCTCCCCAAAGGCCCCTGGATGCTGTCTTCTTCAAACCCCAGTAAACGGGCAAAATTGTACAGGCCTTAGCAAGGCAAGAAGAAAACTTTAACCACCTGCAATATGGTGCTAAGGGGAAGACACCAAAAATGCCTTCTTGCTAGTAGCTTCAAATGCCTGCCCTTGGCTCTGGCCCCAGGCCCCAGAGGAATCACTGGGAAGATTCAGAACCTGGGCCAAGTCGTCTGCTTTGCTGTGCCAGCCGCGCTTAGGCTGTGTCCATAGTGGGCTTGGGGCTAATCTGAGGCCAGCTTCATCAGTGACCCCTCCATGAGATACTAGCTGCCCTGCAGCAGTGTCTAGTATTTGTCTCTCTGGCACAATGGTCCCTATAGGTCATCCTTCCTGTTCCCTGCCTCCCTAGTTCTCTGCCTTACCTCAGGCCTAGTAGCCAGGACCTGGCAAAAGCCTCTCGGCAGGCATCCGGAAAAGAACACTTACATTGCTTTGGGTCCCCATGATTCAATCTCTGTCTAAACTAAATGCCAGATGAACCCCCTCAGAGCAAAGTCCCAGACACCAGCCTCAGAGTCCCCAGAGTCTCTGGGCATCCAGGCTAAGGACTGGGAATCCCAGGCCAGAGCAGCCTGTAGAAGTACAGGTGTAGTGTGGCCCTTGTCCAGTCACCCTGCACATTGTAAAACCATCCACAGAACTGCAGTCACTCCTTCCAGCTGCTGTGCTCTGCATATGATTGTTAGGACTATGCTCTCAGCATGACAGTCACTGTGGCTTAGTGTTACATTTGCCATTTTATAGGATTAGACTAGAGTCGTGCTGGGCTGACAGAAAAACTAGACAGGCAGTACAGAGATGACCAAAGTACCCACCTGCTGTGAAATTTAAAGTTTTCTAGCAGTTATTTTTAAAAAAGAAGAATCCAATGGTTGAAATTGATTTTTATGAGGCCAACAAGATGGCTCAGTAGGAAATGATGCCCACTGCCAAATCTAATGGCCTTAGTTGTAGCCCAGAATCTATGTGGTAGAAAGAAAAAACAGACTCCCACAAGGCCTCTGACTTCCACACTTGCACCATAGCACATACATGTACACAGACACACAGACACACACAGACACACAGACACACACACACACACACACACACGCTAATTTTTTAAAGAAACTAATTTTTATGTTTTTACTTAATTCTATATCCAGAATTGCAGTATTTCAGCATCTAAACCACATAAAAGGATACATGTCAGTTTCTAGAACTTTGTATGCCTTATACTGAGGACACACCTCTGTGTGGACTCCAGATTTTCCTCAAAAATACATGTTCCATGTTTGGTTCATAAAATTTAGCATTGAAAACTGACTCACATGCTCAGATTGTGCTAGACATTCTTGTTTTCCAACAGTGGAGCCACATCTCTCTTTTTATACTGTGATTATTTACACAGAATTTAGAGACCTGGGGTCATGTGAGCCACAGATTTTGGCAAACACAACCAAGAGTTCATTCAAAACCATAGCCAGAGCTGCCATCCTACAAGACCCCTCCTCCTACCTGTCTAAAACATGTGCCTGTCCACGCCCAACACAGGTTAGTGTCATCTATTTTCTCTGCCTGGTGACTCCCAATGCCAACCCCCGAGAGCATACCCCTGTATCCTGAGCAGAAGTGCTCACCTCCACTCTACCCAACTCAGATTCCAAGACCCCCCCAATGTCACCTCCTTGCCGTACCCCTTCACCATGTCTGGCCTAACTCACACCATTGTGTGTTGACCTAGGTCACTAAAGGTGGAGATGGAACTCCATGGGATACAGACAAAGCAAAATGTCCCAACTCCAAAATAAGTACAGACCTGCAACAGTCATGGTTTCCGTAGAGTGGTCCAGCTGAACTGTCTGGTTTCAACTCCAGATTCCTCCCAAGAACAATGACACTGGATATGTCACCTAAGCCTCTGAACCTCATTCCCTCCTGTGATAATACATCACTACGTTTTACCTCCATCAGGTACATGAGCCCTAGACAGCTCTGGGCAGCAGAAATGCCATGTATAAACTGAAGGTTCATAACACAGTCTCCACTCCCAGGAAGTACGTGTTTATCTGGGGCAGAGCAGAGTCCTCCAGCAGTCTCAAGTCCAGAAGATTGGGAAACTGACCCTTCTGGAGTCCTTGGTGGATACTAGGACTGGAAATAAGAAGCACAGGACAAAACAATTTCTTGGTGATGTTGTGATGGGTAGCAAGTGTAGAGGGAATTGATAAGGTTCTACTGAGCCAAGAGGGAGCCAGACCCTGACTATGGCCTAAAGAAAGAGGCAGTAACACCAGTAAAGGTGCCCAGTTCTCTGTCACTTCTCTGAGACAGAAAAGTGTCCTCTCTGGCAGCCTGGATCGTCATACCCATATCTCCCAAAGACTAAATAAAAGGTGCACAATTAATTTTGTTCAGAGGAAATTAACTGGCATTGTTTGGACATTTTCTGTCTTGGGAAGTCATCTGGCATTTCCTCTCCCTCATTTTTAATGAGCCAGAAATGAAACATTTAGAAACACAGATGAGGGATAATATCAGGAGATAAATACCACACAGTTTCAGAGAGCTGACTGGGTGGGGGTGGGGCAGGCTGTCAGATCAGGACAACCTTCTACTGCCTGGGTTTCTGTCATCACCCAAGAAAGAAACAAGACAGAAGGATGGGTGGCAGGTGAGGGACAGAGATAAGACAGAGGTCAAGGCGAAGGCACAGAAGCCACAGCAGCATACTGAGTAGGCTTGCCAGGGTGTTCTCACATGTCAGCAGGGTCCTCGTGGGATAGGACAAACAGCAAAGACAGAATCCGGGACGCACCAGCTGAGACGGTCCCCAGCTAGGACACTAAGACTTGCTGAATGACTTGAAAAATCTTTTTTTGTCTGTGAGCCAAGTCCCTGGTATAGAAAGAAAGCTGGGGGGGGAGGGGTATGGATGGGGGGTGGGAAGAGAGATCTAGTCCTCACTGCAGTCAATTGCAGATTTCATGCAGAAAACGCCAGAGAGAAAGGAATCAGAGCCACCTGGGGAACCTCAGCACAGGGAGGTACTTCCTATAGGTGCTGCCCTTGAACCCAGGCTGGAAAGTAAGAGTCACAATGAAAATGGAGCCCATATACCCACTAAACTACTCTCGCCATGGCACTCGAATCAGTCTCCTGGCTGAGTGGAAATCTTGAGAGATGACCACTAAGAAACTGTGATGTGGGTACCTCATTTCTTTCCTCACCCAACCCTGCTACTAGTGTGGACCCCCACTTGTTGCTGAGAACCGGCTGCGTACCAGGCACCAGGCTGGTGAGAGCTGTGTGCATACCACATGCCAGGCTTTGGGGCTCCAAGCTCACTCATACATGTGCCCTATGCAAGGGCACCTCCTGATGACTCTGATTGTAGATCTAGCACCTTCCCCCAGGCATGCCTAGAAACCCCAGCCTACCCCAGTCCCGGGAGTCATTTCTGAAAAGGCTCACGGCTGACTCCAAGCCCCTCCTCCCTCACTGGCTCACACAGGGGCACTTGCTCCTGAAGCAGCAGCAACTTTCAGCTCCTCGGAAAGGGAAGCAGACCAATGTGTCTGAACTCAGTTCTCAGATTCTTCGCCCACTTCCAATTCACACCTGCCACGAAACACCTTCCATCTTCCAATGGAGCCTTCTGCTTGTCAGTAAGGCCAAGTAGCACTGAGAGCAGCCAGCCAGCAGTCTACCCTCAAAGTCCTGCTTCCAGCTTCGGAGCTGTGACACACTGCTGCACAATAATAAAGCTGACTGATGGCTTACAGATGAGACTAGAATAAGGAGCTGAGGCAGGGGAAGGTGCCAAATGCCATAAGCTGGTGTCAGAGGAAGTGTCCTGGAAGGTTAGGGGAGAAAGGGGACTTGTGCCTAGGAAAATCAGGAGCAGTCTTCCTGGCAAAATGATACCCAAGGCACACTTTTTAAATTGAGAAAAAAAAAATGAAACAAAGACCAGGCATTCTAAAAACATGTAGTAGAATGAACAATTATATGGAATCTTTTCACAGTTCTGGGAAGAATACAGGATGGAGTTGGTAAACTCGAGGGTAGGTGCCACCGTCACCCCTTCCTGTGTACACAGCAGGCATTACTAGTAGACCACAGTACTCTTCCAGGAAGCCAAGTCCTATCAGCTAGCCACAAATAAAGAGTTGGAACCACAAATAAAACCTCTTTGCTACTCTGGCTTCTGTGGAATACGGAACTATCCATTAAGAAAAGCACAGGGCACTCAAAAGAAACTGTGAGGATGAGAACACAGAAAGGGTAGGTAGCGAATTCAGAACAGATCAGATTGTAGTTCATCTAATCCTTACTGGCAGCTACTTTCTCTAAGTGCCTTGCCCTCCATAAACTTCTTCTCAAAGTGGCTACATGGGTCCTGGGGCGATGGCTCAGTCAGAAGAGTGTTTGCTGTACCACAGCATAAGGACCTGAGCTTAGCTCCTCAAGAACCCACATAAAAACCCAGGCAGGTCTCGTATGTACTGTAACTCCGGTGCTGGAACTGGAGGAGGTAAAATATCCCTGAGCCTTGTAGGCTAACCAGGCTAGCTGAATAGATAAGTTCCTGGCTTGGTGAGAGGCAGTCTTGGGAAAATAACGTGGAGAAGTGACTGAGTAAGACTCAGTGTTGGCCTGTCACCCCCATGCATACATATGTGCACACACATGTGGGCACGTGCATGCACACATAGGCATGTGCACCCACATCTACATACACACATGGACACAGAAAAGGCCCCTGGAATTAATACAGAAGTATTCTCACCTGGTGATACTATGTTTGTCTAGACCTTTCAAAATGTGATCTCCTTTTTGAGAGGGGGTAGCTTGCTAAAATGTGGTTCCCTGTGTTCTGCCATCATAAGAAGTCTTTATGCAGCCAAGGTA